AAAGCCCTGTTCAGAACGTTTCATGCACTTTACCAGTGCACGTTTCAGTATGTTTCAGCTCTAGAAAAGACCATAGTCCGCTCTATTCACGCAAGTTTTTGGAAACCAAGGCAAGCTCTACGTTCAAGAGCTTGCACAGCCTGCATGCGTGGTTCGTACTGTGTTTTCAAGTATTTGTCAGTACAGGAAACAAACCAAGAATGGTGCTCTGCACGTTCACATTTAGTCCACAGACGTCCCCAAAATTTTCTGTCCATTAACTTGAACAGTTGTGACATTGCCATACGGCACTGTTTTAAATAGGTGTTTCAAGTAGGTCACGTGCCAGACAAAACTGATGTCTTCATCCCTAAACACATCAAAAATTTCTGGCCTCTGGCGTAAAAAATGTGTGTCACTGGCATTGGCGCACTAACCACTGACGTGCTGAGCCACAGTATGACCGAGAGTATATGCGACAGGACAAAACACCCGTCATCATTGCACCGCTGTTTATAATCGCAGGCAAATGCCTTACACAACGTTACGCTTTTGCGCTTGCTTTGAAACTGCACTTTCCTGCGTCCCCCCCCCCCCCCAGATTTCTAATAGAGGTACGAAGAAAGCATTACATTGTAGTTGGTTTTTCATAGGTGACGCAAGCTATGCTTTTCCAGAAGGCCATCCTTCATTTGAGATATCATCTTTAAAAGCACAAGAGCCTTATAGGCATGTCGGTGCTATAGAAGGGTTGCATTTGCATAGCCTTTTTAATGCCTCGTTTGCTGAAATACGCTACGGCGCAATATTTACCTAAACTCTTCTCGGTATAGTTTAAAAGAGTAGGCAGCCTCCTTTTCCCGACAGACTGATGTAAGCTGTACGTGGCCGCAGCGATGATTTAATGCAGATTGCTGCAAGGTCTCACCAGCAACTTGCTTGCTCTGTATAATTGATATTTACGACTGAACCAAGCCTGCTCTCTTAAATTTCGTATAGAATTTTGTATTATTGTAACACCTAACACCTTCTGCAATATACTGCGGTAGTTTAAGGGCTGTGCAATGAAGAGACGCTGCTGAAGGGCGCGAGTAATTACGTCTAATCGGTTTCTTAAGAGCAACAGATGAACAGAGTGTGATTAATCTTTCTGCATTTCCTAAAAGTTGTTGTCGTTGTATGATCCTTCGGGCTTACAAATTCCTTCTGTAGTGACAGACAGCCAGAAAACACTAAAATAATAATTAGGTTTGAGTGGGCACCGGATATATTATACTACCCCATTATATGATTTTTAATTGTATTTTTTGTTGATTGTAGTCTTATAGCTACCAACACTTGATACGCCATAGAAATCCGGTTTCTGATCATAGTAACACTGCAACGTTTTGGTTTTACTAGTCCGTGTCTAGTGTTTACAATAAAGAATAATATTTTAACTTGTCGTTATCATAGCAATTCATGTTATTTCTTTAGAACACCACATTGCTACAGAGGTGAAAACTTGCATCTTGCCATGTATGAGCATATAATACTGCTAACCTACGCAATAACTACAGCTGCAAAGAAGTGATTGCCCACATTTTTGAGTGCCTTCGTATCACTGTGCACACAGAAAGGAGCAATCCAATACGTCAGGTACACTTTATAAATGCCTTTTTTTCTAAAAAAGCTTCTGTAACATCGACCGAGTTAGTACGGAGCGTAGAAAGTGTTGAAAACTACCTTGTGATTTTCCATGATAACCGAGCTTATAGAAAAACCTCAAAGGGTGTCTTAATGAACTATCGAAATTTTTTTGTAGCATCCACTCTATGTGTTCTTTAATTTGACCTTTCCCTAGCGCAGGGTAGCTAACCTGCCTAAGAGTGGACTAATCTGTCTTTCAGCCTGTTTCTTCCTTTCTTGAAGGTAAAAAATTGTGCAATTACGTGCGTGTGATTCTAAGACAAAGAAAACAGTGGAGGTGCTGGCATTACCATCTTCCTACTCTCACATCCCCTTTCCGCCCTTAAATATACTGTATTATACGTGGCTATGCCATGCATTTCAATTACCTTCTTTTCTTTCCTTTAGGGCCCCCCAATTTTTTATAACCAGCCGTTTACAGTAGCGTAACGATACCAACAGCAACAGGGGTATTGGCAATAGGGCTATAGGCTGCTTTGTGGCACTTGTGCTCGCGAGTATGGTAGCTATGGACCCTGCTGCATAAATCAACGTCAGTAGATGACACCTAACTACATTTCACGCTAACCAGATGTGATGGCTGTACAATAGCAGTGCATATGTAATGTTTAAAAATTTGATAGTGACCACTGAAATCTCAACTAACGTTTTCAACACAATATACACCTGCGTAGGGCTGTTTTCAAAGCAGTTCAAGCGTGGCTTTGAGGTAAAATACCTAATTGCCACGCAGAACGCTTGGATTCAATTCCTGTTGTCCAGTCAACGCTGATAATGTCAAGTTTTCTTAACGTTCTTGCATTTAGATTATCGATTTCTGTTCTCGCCATTCCTCAGTAGATATAAGCTCCTGAGGCGCACTCCCGCATACCTAAGGCACATACCCTCCCATGGTATATGAATATGTAACACAGGTGTCTGGCAGAAAGGTTTTAGTGACGTACGCGATGGGCTTGCCACATGACTTATGTTATGATCAGGGAGTCATATTCATCGAACGATCTTACCTTCCTATACTAATGTTAGCTTAACTTAATATAATTGGGTGATCATGAGAGCACCCAGACGTAGGCGGCTATAGAGACAAATAAGTAGATAGACACGCTAAAAGTACCTGCAGTACCAAAGAAATGCTTTGCGTTTAAAATTACGGCGAGGAAGAGACGTTAGGTTGGGTGAACGTGCCACAGCAGTAAAAAGATAACGCCACAAATCAGCAGTCTTCTGAGAAGCTTGAAGCCGTGGGAAGAACAAAAAGATCAAGAATGAAACACGAACAAAAAAACAAAGAAACAGCACAAAGCAAACTCTGAAACTACAGTTTACCATAACTCGCTTGGGGATTGGCGTCTTGCGGGTAACTTCAACCCACCAATCCAATGAAAAGTCAAAATAAGCATCCGTTTCGCGTAATCCTATTTCCTGATTTGGAAAATAATCGATAAGCTTTTCAGTGGCCAATCTGCACGATAATAACTTGTGACGCCTTTGCGCCGATAATATATTGCCACCATTGACGCGGCAGTTTGTATTCGTCAAGATATTTTTTGTGGCTAGCGATGCACGGCGGAGCGCCAGCCGCGTGAAGGAAGCGAATCTCGGCTCTTCCTATCTGACAGCACCATGCCGCATTTTTCGCGGCGTAGGCATGTCCTGTTTGTTAGTTTAGCGGTTTAGAGAGCACGCTTCTCACGCTTTGCTGCCTGCTTTTCACCAGTGTGAGCGAAACAAACACATTAGAAAAAAAAACGCCAAACCTGCCCGGAACGTGCAGCACAGTCACACCGAAAGCTGGAAGAGTGGCCTTTCAGAGCATTTTTTAAACACTGCTTGGTGTAACTGCCATGACCACAGCTCTAGGGTACTCAATACGCCATAAATAATCATAATTTTTGTGCAGTAGGCCTGCATTCACTATGATATTATTCGTCATTTTTCGGAAAAGCGTGGTACCCGCTACACCAACTTGGGGCATCTCCCCGAAAAGAACTCTGTTGGGGAATCGAAACAGCGTGTCGCACGGGTCGCGTCATGGGTTGGACGGCGCTAATGCGGTTGCGGCGGTGAGCGCTAGGAGATTTGTTTCAAGCAATGGCTAGCGTAGGTCTTGTAGGAGACATGTTTCAACGCGAACGTTAGGCACGCGTCAGGTGTACTGCGCGTGAACCGACGAGTCGGCAGTGTAGAGAGCGATGGTCGCAGCAGATGTTGCGGTCGAAAGGGCAAGGCGGCAGCTTCGGGCGCCGCGGTGAGCGCGCAGCAGGTGAGTAATAGAGTGACGTCCACGCGCAGCATCAGCGTGACCTACTTGGCACTGCGCCAGCACCTGCGGCGCGCGCGTACGGAGGGACAGTGTTACACAGGCTAGTCAAAGAGCTGTTTTGAATCTAAAAAAGAGAAAACATATTGTAGGTAAACAAAATGCCACAGGATGTCAGTACTTATTCTACGGTTGCGGCAGCACCAGCAGTCGTCAACGTTTTTCGCTAACGCAAGGAACACTACAGTCGAGTTAAATCTCTCTATTGTCGGCGTTGTACCACATAGCGGACAGATAATTGCGTGGGTGCTCGCACATGCATACGTGGGATTGGAATACCTTAAAAACTTGGTGTCGCCCAATCTAAACACGTGTTAGTCAAGCGTACATCACACCACTTACATATTACACATACACACCACTAAAGGACCTAAATGTGGTGATTTCCCTGATTCCTTGGCTAGTTTTCAACCTGTTACCTTAGAAATCACTGGAGCAAATATCTTTCCGCATACCTAATGCTGAAGATGCTTCCCAAAAAAACGTCGCCTTAGTTGGACGACGGCGAGAACATAATTAGAGCCAGTGGCAAGATTCGCGAAGTGACTCGATAGTTCTTGATTGACTTTTAAACTTCTTCCAGGTCCATCGTGCATCGCCGCAATAGATAACTAAAGCAGTTAGACGTTCGAGGAAATAAGTACAGGGAGCGCTCAATACAGCCGACAAAACGGCAATGCTGACAACATAGCCGAAGGTGGCCAGTTACGTCACTGGCTTTTCCGTTACCGGTATAGTCAAACATTTTCTTTTTTTGAAGAGGTTTGGGATGAGCGTTAAGGAACACACGGACAGAGACACATAGACACCACGGACTCTGGCCTACAACTAAAATCATTGCGCTTACTACTGCAAATATGTGCAACATAATCGCTCGAACGTTTGTTATGACCGACCATTTTAACCAGAACATAGCATCAGTTGTGAACCTATCGATAAACTTCATTAAAATCCGGCAGTTTTCTTCGGGGAAAGTGGTAGGATGAGGGGATTAACCCCTGTCTCATTCTACCCTCCGTCCGTGATGATTGCTGTGTCTCAGGTGACGGCTTGAAGTCCTTGGGCTCGGGCGGCATCTTCGGGTTGCCGAACAGCCCACCAAAGTTTGTCGACCATGTCGTTGCTGGTAGCTGCCCGGCGGCAGCAACGCTGACGCAGCCTAACCGCAGCAGTGTCGGCAGCGGCGGTGGCCGCGATCCCCTGCTGTCACGTGGTATAGCGGCAACAAATTGCTTCGGAGTTCGTCCCTGCCAAGCTTGCATCGCAAAGTCAACGGCGGCAACTACATTAACTCTCCCGGCACACTCCCACAGCATGTGCTGCAGAGTGTCCCTTTCCCGCATGCTTCACGCCTGCGTCGGCTATGGGCTCGGATAACAGAGGCGTGTGATTGCTGGGTTGGGGTAAGTGCTAGTTTGTAATAACCTCCAAGTTACGACATTTTGTTTATTTATTGTATGCTGGTGGGTATTTGCATCTGCCTAATTTGTAATGCGTCGGGACGCCTTTGAATGTGATCAGGCGATCACCCCACGACCACTTCAGCTGCTGTTGTCTTAATAATGCTGTTGCCCCGCCGCGGTGGTCTAGTGGCTAAGGTACTCGGCTGCTGACCCGCAGGGCGCGGGTTTGAATCCCGGCTGCGGTGGCTGCATTTCCGATGGAGGCGGAAATGTTGAGGCCCGTGTGCTCAGATTTGGGTGCACGTTAAAGAACCCCAGGTGGTCTAAATTTCCGGAGCCCTCCACTACGGCGTCTCTCATAATCATATAGTGGTTTTGGGACGTTAAACCCCACATATCAATCAATCAATAATGCTGTCATGGCCCTGCTTTCGGAGGTAGAGGTGGCCACAGAATTGGCCTAAGCTTGGTGAGTGTGGGCCACCTGGTTGTCGGCGAGCCGAACGCTGGTGTGTGCAGGGGTCCACAGGAGGAAGACCTTCACAATTTCAGTTTTGGATTGCGAGGACAACGACGTCGAGGTCATCGCTGTTCGAAGCTCGCGCCGTTATTCTTGCCATAACTACATTGAAAGGCTGCCTGCCACAAAATGTGGCCGCGTGCGAAGCCGTGGGTGGCAGCTTGTGAGTCGCTGATGACGACCATGTATTCCAGTGCAAGAGCAATCGCCTCCTCTACGGTCGCCTCTGTGCGTTCCGTACGCACCGTGGCGCTCGCGATGCATGTGCCCGGGAGATTCACAACTGCGATCACGTGAACACGCCTTCCCTTTGGGTATCGCGCGCCGTCCACGTACACCACCTCGTTGCTGTTGCCATACATTCTTTGAAGTTGACTCGCTTTCCTGTTGGAGGAACAGGAGGGAAAGGAAAGGCAGGGATGTTAACCAGTCTGGAGCTACTGGTATGCTACCCTACACTGGGGATGGGGATGAGGGAGTTTGAAAGATGGAAAAAAAATGAGTGAAAGGAGAGCTCGCACATGCGTTGGGTTCACAAATGTTGATGACTTCGAACATAATGACGCACACTAATTGTCGAAAGTCCGAAAAGATGCGGAATGATAGATGCTTTCTTGACTTTTTAGAAATGATGGTGATCGTTAGCCATATTTCTACTCGAGCGATTGAAGTACTGGGCTTAGGGCGTTCAGTACTTTGAGAGCACTTCGAGCCGACGTTGTCCTCATGTCCAACAAAATCTCCCAGATGGCATCCATGAGAGAACGAAGCATAGTTATGACTTAGCCCTCTTTCTTATGTGTGTTATAAGCGGTTGGTGAAGAGCCCTGAGTGGGCGTGGTCGGCTGACGTTCCGTGGTTAGCGGATGACTTAGAAGAATAGGCCATTACTCTGTAGAGATAGTCCTCTCCGAAGTCTTCTTTCAATTTGTCGGTTCTGTTGCGGCTTGACTTAATGATGCAGCAGTAGAGGTGGCGCTGTCGTTTCGAACTTGCGCAGTCCTTGAGCTAGAACGATGGCACCGACGCCACTGCCAACACTGGACTGTTTCGGTAGCATCCCTATGGGTCAAATTGTCTGTGACCATTTGCTGAAGCTTCGCGCGCTCCTTCTTAATTCGAGGGCAGTCTTTCGATGAGGCAGTGTGTGAGTCATTACAGTTACCGCATTTAAGAAATGTGGACTGACACACATCTTCCGAATGGGGCTCTGTGCAGCGGGGGCACCATAGCGAGTTCGGGCATACGTACTTGACGTGACCTAGTTTAAAGCACTGGTGGTATTGAAGTGGCTTTTGCACAAAAGGCCGAACAGGATGTCGAAAATGTCCGACTTTGACATTGGATGGCGTGCATCGCCTTTTGAAGACCAGTTTCACAAAGCGTGACTTCCCAAGGTGGTGTACCTGAGTAATGACAGTACCATCATTTGCCGGTTCGATGAGGGTAGGCAAGTCAACGTGGGGAATCGCAATGTCTACGTTGTATATAGCTCAGTCACTTGTTTGAGTGTTGCAAGCGCATTCACGTGGAATACGTCCATGGCGAGTATATTTCTTTCGCGTGTTTACTCTGATTTCCTTGATTTAATAAGGTACCACACGTTCCAAAAAAGCGGAAAGTGCTTGCCTGTTCAGCAGTCGCAGGTTTCCCGAGGACTCTTCTGGCCCAAAAATGATGACGTGTGGCCAGCGTTAATGCCTTGACTTCGTAGTCGCTGTACTCGCAGAGGTAGGCGAGGCTGCGTTGACGATCTTCCTCTTCGCCCTCTTGCTCCGGGCAGAAATGAAATCGTCGGATGGGTCGTCTTCCGAGGCAGCTGAGTACAGCTCTGTGTCCTCGCTGTCACTGAGTGAAGTTACTCTCTTCCTCGCAGTGGTCAGCCTAGATGATTGCTAGCCAGGTGGTCCTTCGGAAGGCTCCGCGTCTATGGCTGCGAAACGCGGAGCCGAGGCACCATACAAATTTGAAGGTTTCACCGAAAAAATCGGAGGACACAGAGCGAAGTGCTTGGATACCCGAACACTTCGTCATCGTCCCTTACAAGCAAAATCTCTCGCTATCCTGTTGGGGCGCCCGACGTGGTGCATAGAGTGCATGCTCATAGGGAGCAGTGGGACGATGAGATGGTAGCAGATCGTGATCGGAATAATCGTCTTCTCCCAGCATTGTGTGTGGTATGTTATGCCGAGAGACTCTAGGAACTTAAGAAATAACCTTAAGAATTCATCAGCTAGCAGCTAGCAACAATATTTGTTGATGACTATAGGTCCACCACGTGACGGGGCACCCGAGTACTCTTCAAAATGAAAACTGCCTGTGTTTGTAACATAGGAACATGTAGTCGAAGAATTGTCTCGCGCTGGGTATACAAATTTTGTGGGTGCTACTAGCAGGTCAGTATACACCCACTAATTTAGAGGAAAAAAATTGAGGTGAACAGATTTGCTGCCACTACCCCTTCAGAAAACACTAAATTCTTGGAAATTTATTAGAGATTCTGGTAACTCTATTGATCCAGATGAATTGCTTACGTCAGTATCAGCGGCTTCTTTTCATGACGTTATCAACATACTACTTACGTTACCAGAAGAACAGAACTTTGTAAACAGACATCAAAGGAGATTGCAATGTTTTTTAGTTGAAGGGCGAGGGTAGGCGAATGTTGCTGCCACGTTTGCTGTTCAGATGCGAGAGCTTCCCCGCTGTAGTTTTAAAAGTAGCCTTGACTGTAGCAAACAAAAAGCAGTTGACCACCAAACTTACCGAGTTTTTGAAACTCTTCCTAAATGTATAGGTGCAGAACCGATAATCTCCAATAAGTCAAACGCTCGCTGCTTTGAGATTCGATCAAGGAGTGAGATGGAATTCGCAATTGCCGAACAGGGCAACGCCGCGAAAACTGAGCCCCATTTATTTAGGCAAATATTTACCCAGCCTGTGGAGGCCGGAGCTCGAGCTACAGATTAGGTCCTGATGTATACACATTTCGTAAGATTTCGTGCCACGTATACCAGATCTAAAAGCTGAATTTACGTAATCTCTATTTCACAAAGGATTTTTTTATTGCGATTAGCCAAGCGATGTCTCAAGTGGTATGTCCAGCTTGGCTAAAATGTTTCTCAGTTAGCATTTTAGCACATGTTCTTGTGTACGAGCCTAGAAGCAGGATAGAGATGCTATTACAATGTAGAATATTTACGTCTTTTTCCGACACCAGTCAATACATGTGAATACTACTGCTTGCGAAAATTACAGCCGTTATCAGACGGCACTCATAGCTGCCCGTCTCGTCGTTAAACTTGAATAAGTAAAAAAAACGTTAAATTAATGCAATTTCGGATACTAACATATATGGGGCACTGATTCGAAGCCCAGAAAAAGATCTGCAAGAGGGGTGCAACGACCAATACACCATGCAATCACAAATAAAACAAAAAACCTGTGATTGAGCATTATAGAACTGAGAGAGCGATAAGAGCTCATTTGCCAGTGAATTATTCCATTTGCCGTAGGAGTGCTAGAGGAATGTAAGCAGTGTCAAGAGCGCCAAAGAGTAAGGAGGTGGGACGCAATGAAACTCCCTTCGAGCATTGCATGTAATCCTCAAGTGCAAGGCAGTGGTAATTCGAGATCACCCTAAGAGGCATTCGGGCTGCAGGGAGCACGAAGATAGGCTGACGATCGTGCTAATGAATCTTATCGTGTTATGAATCTGATGATGATTGTGAGCCTAAATCAATTCTTGCATATTTAATTAAAACATTTCAATCTCTTCCTGTTCGTATTTATAATTATTTCCAAGATTTAAAAGAGCGAACCACATATTATGTACCTGGCCTGAATTTTCTGATACTTCAGATATTTTATTACAGGGTATTCAGGCGTGCGACAATAACTTCACTTTTGGAAGATCATACATTCAGTGTAGAGTTCAAAAACTTGCACGCCTACTTATAAAAAAAAACGGATTATGCTTTTTAAAATGAAGTTTGAGCGCACCTTGAATTCTTCATGCGCGTAGCGAATCAGTTACAGACACATGTACTCCCGCTGGAGATATCTTTAGACAGACCTCGCTGTGTTCACGACAAAGTTTTTGAATGCATGTAGAAAACACGACAAGTGGAATTTTAATTGCATTTGCAAGTTAGCGTTCTTTCTCTTTCTATTTGCACTAAAGAACCTATCGGAAGATTACCCGTCAATAAATTCTACGTGTTCTAAACACTTCCTGTAGTGCTTTTAAGCTTTTATTTATGCAGTATTTATCAGTTTTAGTGCGAAACATATATATACCTCAAGTAAGAAGTTGCCAGTATGATATATAGTAATATAAAAGAAAGGGTAGCCAATACTACTAAAGAAATTGTGAATGCATGGTGCTATTTTGTTGTTTTTTTATTTTGGCAGGCTTCAA